CTTGTCGGTGAAACAATTGTCAGTGAAATGAACTTGTCGGTGAAACAATTGTCAGTGAAATGAACTTGTCGGTGAAACAATTGTCAGTGAAATGAACTTGTCGGTGAAATGAGTGTCGATAAAACGATACAGATCCTAAAAAATTAGATAATAAATGTCCTAATAAACAAACAGACTTCTCTAAATGCACACACTTTAACTTTAACGGTACTTAGAATAATAAGAAAAAGCGGGACTATGTAGATTTTATGAAATTTCTAACCATCCAGTAATCCGATTTAAATAAACTTTTTTTTTTTATTTTGTAAAACTTATTGAATTCTACAAAATAAACAAAAGTTTATTTGAATTGGATTACTGGATAACAATAAATTTTAATTTTCATTCATAAATCTACATAGTCTCGTAAGGTCATTTTCAAGGCAATTTCCCAAGTACATTTATAGAAGTCAAGTATATATTTGAACCAGGATTTGAGTATGCATTTAGAGAGGGTGTGCACTTAGAGAGGTCTGACTATATACTATTACAAGTGAATCTTGATATAAGAAAGGTGTTCGAGTTCAAAATACCGTACGCTTTTATTCTAGTTTAGAAAATAAGGGGGTACGGCTTAATAAAATTTAGAATAAATGAACAAAAATAGGTCAAAAAAACTTTTAGCGTCCAATTTGGACGCTAGACGGTTTAAGGGATAATAATGTATAGCAATAGTGATATATTTTTAATCACTTTTTTTATCACTAAAAAGATGGAAGGCAAAACTCGACCTACATTTTTCCGTGGTGTTGCAACAGTGGTTACAAAATTATTTAACATTGTTCAACCTGATTATGTTTTTTTCGGTCAAAAAGATATTCAACAATGTGTAGTTATTAAGAATTTGATTCAAGATTTGCATTTTCCATTGGAAATGCATGTTGGACCTACTGCAAGGGAAGAAGATGGGTTGGCTATGAGTTCTAGAAATAGATATCTCACACCTGAAATGCGAAAGGTTGCTACCATATTATATCAAAGCTTGAATATGGTAAAGCACGCATATGAACAAAATATTCGTGATCGAAAAAATCTTTTTGCTCCTGCGTACGATCTTATTGAGAATAAATCCGAATATATTAAAAATCAGAATTTGGGATTTTCCGTAAAATTAGATTATTTATCACTTGTAGATCCTGTAAGTTTAGAAGAACTTGATGAAGTTGGTGAAAATGGAGCTATTTTATCTGGAGCTCTATACGTTGGAACAACAAGGCTAATCGATAACATATTGCTAAATTGTACAATATAATCAGGGACGATGATTTTCTGTTTCTGTGTGTGGTTAAGAACGAATTCTGTAATTACATATATTATTACTGAATATTTATAGAATTTGCTAATTTTATTGTATATATTTATTGTATATATTAATAACAGAAATTTCATTCAGTAAATATAGATTCAAAGTTATTATTTATTTGGCAATAAGACAAGGTAGAATAGAGTTAAGGTTAGTGTAATCTTAACTGTTAAGTATCTGTAAAATAAGCATGTTGTCAGTGAAGTGAGACAGATCTGTTATTTTGGTCACATTTGTTTTTTTGAGATCAGTCATCAAAACACATACGTCTTTGAGACAGGGACAGTGATTTTCTTGTAAATTCTGTGATTTAATGTGATAAATTTAACAAATTTCTGTGCGATTCTGTACTATTTTATAATTTCTGTGCAGTCATTCTGTAATTTCTGTGTTTTGAAACACATTATATCGGGTTATTGTTTACTTTTGCAGAATTTCACGCGCCACTGACGTGGATTCGTGGTCAAGTGGCTATTCTGTGCCGTTTTTTAGAATTCTGCGATTTTTTAGAATTCTGTGGTGACTAAGGATGATTTCTGTAATTAGCTGTGTCTTAAAAAAGCCGAATCACAGAAAATCACTGTCCTGCTTTGAGATCACACTGATAATCATTTATAACCGTATATTTCATAGTAAATAAGATTACAATGAACTTTTTTTTTTTACTATGTAAATCTTTGGGCCTCCTAGCAAAATTTGTAGATAGTTATCCTAGTTCTTATAATCAAAATTAGCCTAATAGATTGCGAAATATCAGTATTTTTCACATTGTGCAAATCACACATTATTTTTACCTATGAAAACACTATTATATTTTCTTTACCCTTCAATGTGATTTTGAAAATGCGTTAATCTGGAATAAAGCATCTCATAGGAGCTCACTTAATAAATGATAATTGTCGAAATAAAAATAAATGGTCATCGAAATTCATTTAGAAACATTTGATTTAGGATTAATAGGACCTAGATAATTCTAAAAAAGGTGGTATGCTTAACCTTTTTTTTGGCCAATTCTAAAAAGGTGGTATGCTTAAACTTTTTTTTTGGCCAAAACTCTTCTAAATTCCAGTCAAATTAAAAAAAATATATTTTAACCAGAATTTAGAAAGTCTGGCCAAAAAAATGCTAGTTTAATCATCCAAACTTTTTTAGAATTATCCGAGAACTTGGATTAATGTATTATATCGATATCAAGAATCTCTTATTTTTCCGACAACCACTTTCTTATCCTGAATTAACAAATAATTTGCCATGTAATAATAAAAACTCATGCATAAACCATAAATAGTCTCTGGGTACTGTGTATGATTGAGAGTACTATGATCGGAACTGTATATAAATCAAGCGTTTAATCTGATTGACCATATATTATTGAAGTATTTCATACACTATTAAAAGTTAGCCTATAGACATGAGACACATTTTCTTTAATGATAGGATTGTTCAAAAAACTCATTTTTTCTTTCTAAAAAAAAGATCAAAGAAATTAATAAATAAAATTTATTATACAAATCATATGCATTTTTATAAATATATCTTACTTTTTGTTAAAAATTTATAAACTAATAATGAAAGAAAAAAATAACAAACAGTTGATGAATATTAAAACAGATTTGGGGTGTTCTCAAGCCTCAACCTCAATGTGATTAGCTAGTGATCGTAACAGTGTATAACAGTAATTATATTTACATAGAAATTTTGAATATGCAAATTATGAAGTAATCTCTATGCATTTAGCTAATAAACGTGATGATGCTCATTTACTACAATCAATAAGAATTCTAATTGATACTTGAGCGATCCATTAATATTTTATCAAATTAAGGTTGCATGATAAGGTTACTTGTGTGATCTCAATTAATTGTAAATTTTGCCAACCAAGGGAAATGATAAACTCGCGTAATAATTTTTACTAATAAAAATTTATTGATTACGTACGTAATAAACTTTATTAAACTACAATGTTTATCTAAATATTCATTACGATGTTAAACACTTTTGACTCCCTTAAATTATTTTCCGCTAAGTAAAATTTCTTCACCGACACTTTTTGTCCAATTGATTAAGACGCTTGAGAACGCCCTTTATTTGAAAAAAGCCACAAGCATAATTATGTATAATTATTATGTATAATTAAGCATAATTAAAGATGGTCACTAATTCAAATCATTTTCATATTGTTGTTCTAAATTACAATTTTTGTTTTTACCCAAATTATATCGTCTGTGCCAAATCATATTAGTATTATTAAGATCTATGAATTTTGCATTACAATAATTTGAAACAATTTTTCCAAACAATATATCTTCACCAATAAAAGTATCAGAAATAAGATTATTACGTAAGAAACATTCAGCAATTTCTCTTCCCAACATATAAAAGACACCTTCCATAAAAATAAATTTATACATTGTTCCCTCAAGTTCATAAATAGCTGGTATACCAGCATAATTATTTGATTCAAAATTATTTACAAGATCATAATACAAATATGGATGAATAAGACCATCATCATCAAGTTTAGAAAATGTCTTTGCATTTGGAAATTGAAACAATAATTGCGTAAGTGTATCAACTAGTTTAAGGTGTAATGTACTATAATTATATTCATTTTGTAATTCTAAACATGGAGTCACTATACATTTCCATCTTTGATCTCCTATAAAGATAATATTATTAGAGTATGATAGCATTTTATAAAATGTATCATCAGTTCTGTTTTTTTGATATATAAATATTACATGTATTTGTTCAAAGTTTTTCATAATATTCACTTGTAAAGGAACTGTATATGGTACTGTATTGTAAAAGAATAACATATGTTCTACGAAAATTGAAAATATAAAGCCTAATATAAAACTAAAAATGAGTTTTAAATGTCGTTGATATTTTGATATAATCATGCTTAGAGAAAAAAAGTTGAAACAATCGAAAGCAGGTTTATGTATGTACGTATTATATATATGTATATCGATATTGTTTCACAGTTCTCTTAAATTGGAACAAATAAGTACTATTTATTCACCAGCAGCAGCGCATCACATGAAGTTAATTTGGTTCACTATTCAGAAAGAAAAAGTATTACGTAGCATGTTCACAGACTAGAACGAATAAAAGCGACGAAATCCCAACCTGAACAGCAACGACGGGACAAATTCTGTTGCTTTGAAAAAAAAAAACTATCTAAGTACAACGTAAATAAATTATTAAATGCTTTATTAATCGGTGAATACATAACTTTGATGCTATATTTTTTATTATTTTTATTTAATTAAATTATGGGTTTCAACCTCGATGTGATTGGCTCGCGATCTTAATAGTGCACCGCTATGATTATATTTATGTATAATGAAACGAATAAGCAAATTAAGAAGCAATCAAAGTTTGCTCAAACGTTATTCTCTATGCGATTAGCTAATAAACGTGACGATACTCATTTACTACGTATAATCAATCAAAATAAGAACTGCAATAATATTTTACCAAATGTCGTTATCACTACGTTTATTTCGTTGATATTCGGTCGTTGCATGATAAGGTTACTGATAAAGTTGCTTGTGCAATCTCTTTGAAAACGCAATTAATTGTAAATTTTGCCAAGCCAGGGATCAAAAAAAGGTGGTCTGCCATAAAATATTTATAAATTGTAATGATAAACTCACGTATTGTCTTTTGATTAATAAAAATATCATTACCTTAAAATATTTTCCGCTAAGTAAAATTTATTCTCCGACGCTTTTTGTCCCGTTGATTAAGGCGCTTGAGAACGCCCTTGGTGAGTTTTTTTATTTAGTTTCTTCTGTTAAATACATAATGAGTATAAGTTATGCTACAGTTGAGTAAGTCTTATTAGTATGAGTCTGTTTATAGAAAATTACCTATCGCTATGTAAACTTGTTTATACAATTTTAAAGTTACTCAACCAAGAAGGTATACTTTATTGTGATTAAAAAGTATTCTAAATTGTATAAATAACGTAAAATTAAATTGACTTTATTAGCTCCCAGACGAACTTCTCCCTATGAGACTAAGCCGCAAGACTTACATAGCATCGCCCAGAAAAAATGATAACCGGATTAAAATAATTATACAATATCACACTCAAATAGCTTTAAGATGCAAAAGTACTTTTCACGAATCTCGCTAACGAAGTTATGACTTTATGAATTTTAACGCTTTGATAAAAAGATCTTTATGCATAACTAAATAATGCGAATAAAAAGATATAATATGCTGTGGTTATTTTGAACATTAAAATCCTTTGTATTTACTAACTAAATTAACATTAATAAACAAGAAGCAAAATATGAAATATCAACAAATTTAAATAGCTTATATTTTTGTGAATTCAACACGGCAAACTTTCTTGAAAGTTAAAACGAAAGCCAAAGAAAGGTTTAAGTCAAAACGAAAGTAAATTCAAAGCAAAAGTCAAAATCAAAACAAAAGGTCAAAGCGAGAGTCAAAATAAATGTCAGAGCGAAAATCAAAGTAAAAATCAAATAGTTATAATGTTTATCATTACTAAGCATGGTAACTTTACCAGCAATCAGTTTCCAAAGTCGTATATAAACCAAAAAAAAATCCGTTTTTTCTAGGCGACGCTATATAAGTCTTGTGGCCTAATTGCCTAGCATAGCTCGGAGATCAGACAGATAATAATAATTATTGGCCCTCATCCGTGGTTTATACGGCATCTGTATAAATTAATAACCGGCAAAAAATCTATGTGGTAACCATATTTGTCGATGTATGCATTAAATAATTACACCATGGGCAGACAATCCCGTGAAAGACGCAGTTATTTTTAGTCATCATAATTCTGTAATTATTTTTATGATAATATATATATGTCATTTTAAAATACTGATTTATAATCAAAATCAATACGTACTACGTACCATTCATACGTACAAGTATCTATTATGAATGGCTACTTCCAATTTATGCTACGTATTGCATAACGTTAAATATTTTTTTACTTTAAAAAGTTATAGATTAAAAATGTCATAGATTAGTCATAATGATTGGTTGATGCATTTATTTAAACAACGTAGATGTCAATTCAATGCGTTGATCGATCTGAAGTTACGATAAAAAAAAAATCTTTTTTTTTTTTGATTTAATTATTAAAAGCACGTTAAATTAAATATTAATTAATTTAATTACATCAATAAAAAAAAAATATAATTATCGTAAATAATAAAAATTTTATACGTACTATATAATGAAACTACAAACTATGGAACGAGAAGAATTATGTGATGATGCTATAGAACTTGAACAACTTGTATCCCAAATGAAAGAATTAATGGTTGAACGTAAGAAATGCAAAATATTTATAAAATTAGCTATTATGTAATGATTCTTGAATAATAAAATTTTAAAATCGATCGGTAGATGTAAACGATAGTCGAAAACCAGGCGCATTAGTTTTGGATTACAAATCTCCTAAAGAATTAAAACAAGTTATGGATTTGGAATTAGGTTACGATGGTGTTGGGGTTGTAGGTACTCACCTCGTTCATCTAATTTCTTAATCTTTTCATATAAATCAACCCAATTATTTTAATTTTTTAATGTTTTATAAAACAGGATTAATGCCATTAATACAAGACATATTAAAATATAGTGTTAATACTTGGCATCCGGGATTTTTAGACAAGTTATATGCTGGTACAAATCCTGTTGGTATCATATCTGAAATGTTGATATCATTATTGAATGCGAATTCACACGTTTATCATGTCTCACCTGCTCTTACAATGATCGAAAATACCGTTTCGCACAGTTTGGCAAAATTATTAGGAATGGGTGAGGTAAATTAATTATTCTTTTGAAATTTTATTATTGGTAAATGTATTATTTGAATATTTCCTTAAAATTATTTGTTAAATTAGAAATCTGGTGGAATAACTTGTCCAGGTGGTTCTTTTTCGAATCAACTTGCCATGATAACCGCACGGACTTGTATGTTTCCTGAAATTAAAACTAAAGGTTATCATGCGTTTGGAAAAAAATTGTTGGTTTTCACTTCGGTCGCTGGTCATTATTCCGTTGAAAAAACTGCTATCGCCTTAGGTTTGGGTACCGATGGTGTGATTAAAGTACCATGTGATGACCAAGGAAGAATGAGAACCGATGAATTAGGTAGGTAATAATTTTATCATGACATTATAGGTTATTAATATGTTAACGATGTGTTGTTGATATATTTTCATAGAACGTCTGATCATAAAATCTTTTCAACGAGGAGAATTGCCTTTTTTTATTAATGCTACAGCTGGTACCACTGTTTTGGTGTGTATTTGTCTTCATTTGTTAAACTATCTATCCACTATTGAATTATATTTAATTAATTATAATTGTATTTTAGGGATCTTTCGATCCATTACGTGAAATAGGAAAAATAGCTAAAAGATATAGTCTCTGGTTTCATGTTGATGGATCTTGGGGTGGAAGTCTTGTGTTTTCTGAGAAACATAGCCATTTGATAGATGGTGTTAACTTGGTCTGTTAATTTTTTCATTAATCAATTTTATCAATCTTTTTTTCTTATTGGTTCCAATATTATATTTCCATTTAGAAATAACTGTTTTTATATTACCATTAACAGGCTGATACCTTGGTATTAAACCCTCATAAAATGTTAGGTGCTCCATTACAATGTTCATTTTTACTTGCAAAAGATAAAAAAATATTTTCTCAATCAAATTCGTTGAAAGCTGAGTATTTATTTCATCAAGAAGACGATTTAGGTGACGGCACAGTTGGATGTGGTCGTCGTCCTGACGCTGTAAAATTATTTATAGGTTGGAAAATATATGGCATACAAGGATATCAAATACGAATCGAACATGCTTTTAAAATGGTTAAATATTTAACTTTAATAGTAAAAAATAATCAACGTTTTAAATTGGTATTAGATGATCCTCCAAGTTTACAAGTTTGCTTTTGGTATTTACCTATTGGAATCAACTTTGATTTAGAAAATAAAAAATTTAGAATAATGATGACAATGATCACCAAAGAGATACATAGGAAGATAATGCATCGTGGAAAGTTTTTATTTGATTATTCTCCTTTGATAATTGGTGATAAAGAATTGCCATGTTTTTTTAGAATTGCTTTGAATGCGCCTTCAATTAATGAAAAACATTTAGATGATTTGGTGTGCGAAATCGAAAAGATGGGTGAAGGTATTTTAGAGTGGTTTGAAGAATTTGGTGATAAAATTAATGGTGATATGAAAAATGGCGTTAATGGAAATGGATGTATTGATTGCGCAAATGGACATAATATAGAAAAAGAGGTGATGAACGGATTCAACCGATAACCCAATTTTTATAATATTTATGAAATATTCTAATTAGAGATAATATTTAGAATAAATAGACAATTTATATATTATTTTTAGAAACTTTTGTATTTCATGTAATTTATTAGTTATAATAACGAGAAAATTTAATTACACAATTGGTCGATAACACATAAAGAACTGCATTTTAAGAGAAAATATTGTACACTTTAATTTTTATATTAAAATAAAAAAAATGCACAATGTTTCTTAGAAATAATTGCATGATAATAGAAAATAAAACTGTTCACTCTTTAGCAAATCATGATAACACTTCTAATCTTAAGCAATTAGATTACACCTTATACTTCTGGACGACACGCCATGAATTACTGATTAATTTTGCGTTCTGCCTGTCCTTTCAATTCAGTCGCTTTTCCTTCAGCCTTCATTTTAGTATCGCCAAGAGTATCACCGGAAGCTTTTTTAACCTCTCCAGATGATTCGTCTTTGACTCCTATTGTTATATGTAGAATAAATATTAATAGAAAAAAATCGGTGGTCGCATAGAAACTACAAAGGAAAAAATACCTTCAGCTTTGCCCGCCATTTTTGCGGCTTCATATTCATCTTGTCCTATATTAGTATTTTTAAGACCATTTTAGTATATATAATAAATTTTATATACTGTATACGTATTATCACAATATATAATTATGTCTTTATTACCTTCGATTTTCTTTTCTCTTCCTTCAGCTTCCATTTTCTCATTTCCTACGGTTTTGCCTAAAGTTTCTTTAGCTGCGCCTTCGTAGTACTTAAGACTAGCATCAGTTTTGGATGGCTCTGACATGATTTCAAGTGGTTTTTAGAAAAGTTTGTAAGATAATATAAATTGAATTGTTGAAATTAATTTATTTTTTATTTCAAGGAATTTCAAGGAATAAAAAGTTGAATTATCGAACGAAAGAAATGAAGGTGAAATTTTTACTCTATTTATATTCTTTTTTATGATTTAAAAAATTTTTGACACTAACTTAATACCTCATTTCTTTAAAAAAAAAAAGACGACATAACCATTAGGTAATTCCTTTTTTTTTTAATATAACGATTTAATATGCATCCTCGATGACTTCATCATTACATATTTCATCTTTAATGCAGAATGTTTCGAGGAGCTCGATTGTATATATTACCATTATGTAATTTAGTAACGATTATCATATTTCAGATTGATTTTTGTTTCTCAAGTCTATAGTTAATATATATTAAAATTCAGACTTTTATTATTTTTTGGTTTTTTATTTCTCTTTTAGTCCAAAGTACAATACTTGACAAGTAAATCGTGGTTAAAGGGCATAAAAAATAGCAAATTTAATAGCAGAAATTTCCGGAAGTTAATTGGAATGCAGCTAGCTTACAATGAAAAAAATTTTTTTTTTGTGCCAAATAAATTTTCCATGAGTTTCCAACAATGTTATAGTGTAATTTATCACGGTTTTAGTAGTGGTAGAATTATTTAAAAATGGTTTAGTAGATTGCAAGTTTCTTCATAACGATAACTATATGATTTTTTTACTTAACATCATACGTAGTAATTCTCCACCATGTATGAAATTTACAATAAACTGCTGACTCTTGTATCCGGGTACTTACATTGACTAGTACTGTACCCGGGGTACCGAAGCAGGGAGGTATATTTAGACTTTATATACATTTATATGTGCGTATATAGTACCCGGGTATAAATCAAAATTAAGCCACTAAATCTCCCGGTATAAATCATAGTACTCGAATCAGCAGTTTAAGGTATGTAATATTTACAATATCGATGTCATTATTTAATTTATGCAGTATCTCATGCTTCGTACCACAGTATAAGATACAGTATTTTTAAACAGTTTCAGCTACCAAATAAAAATCAATCTAAAAGATAAATTTTATAGATTTGAATAACTTATTTGTAAATTAAATCGTAAATATTATATTAAATGATGTATTTAAGAGATAATACTCGTACTAATTACTGTATTTAATAAATATTTCTTATACATATATTTATATTAAAAATGCATTAATTGATACATATGTTACTACGCTATGGACAACAATTAGTTATATACAGTAGCAGTGAACAGGAGGAACCGTCGATGTTACACTAATGATTTTTCACCCGGTGTGCAGCATATAAAAAAATCATTTTACAATACCAGATCATTCCGCTATTACATGTTATGATTATAATCCCACACCATTTTTATTATAATAAAATGGTGTGGGATTATAATCATAACATGTAATAGCGGAATGATCTGGTATTGTAAAACGATTTTTTTATATGCTGCACACCGGGTGAAAAATCATTAGTGTAACATCGACGGTTCCTCCTGTTGTAGCAGTGACCTTTTATTTTATACTTTGAACCACGTGCGCGAACATACAGAATTCGAAATTACATTTTTGATGTTTTTAAATAGTATGCATCAAAAACGTACCTTTTGTATCACTATGCATAGAAATTAGGGCTCTCCGCACAAATATCTTTGATATTAATATTATTGTTTGAAATAATCTTATCTGCAGTTGAGTATTCAAGTGATTGCTTATTAATATAACTGACAAATTTGCTAGTATAAATCGTACTATCTTCCATATTGCCAAAACCATTATGTTTAATCTCCATGTCATTATCAGATTTTAAAAATTCATAAAAAACTTCAGTATTATTGTTCCAATTTAAAATAGTTTTATGAATTTCTAGAGCTGACGGTCGTTTTTCTGGATCTTTATCCCAACACTTCTTTAAGAGATTTACATAACATGGTGTTGTGCCTTTAATAATAGTTGGTCTTAATCCTTCGCAAATTTCTAATGCCAATCTTAAATCATCATCTTTATAGTCAGCAAATACAACATTTCCTGAAGAAATCTCCCACATAATCATTCCAAAAGAATAAATATCCGATGCTTTTGTAAACGGTTTTCCTTGCAAAACTTCTGGTGCTATATACGGCAAAACGCCACAAATTCCACCTGATTCTTTGTCTAATGTTTTATTAATTGATGTTGCAAATCCTAAATCACCGATATAAGCATTATATAAATCATCTTGGAATATATTACCACTATGCAAATCACAATGAATAATGTTATTCGAATGAATTAATTGAAGATCGGATGCTATGTAGGATAATAATTCTAATTTTTTCTCCCATTTCATCCGTGCAATTTCGTAAAGGTTTTTACGTAAAGATCCCATTCGCGCATATTGTATTACTAAAATATAATCGTCTGTGCCTTCATCTTTTGATATTCCATAACATTGTAAAAATGCGGGATTTTTAGATCCAATGTTTGAATATGTGATTAACTTTAAAATTATATAATATTAATAAGTGAATAGTAATGACTAAATTATAAAATTTGAGCTGTCAAATAATTACCTCTTTTATAAGTTCCTCGCAGCTGTTGTTTTGTCCATGAAATAATTTGAGTGCAACAAGCCGATTAAAAGTACCATCATCTGCTGTACGGCTCCAATTGGCGGCATATACAGTTCCAAACCCACCTTTCCCAATTTTTTCAAGAAATTCTAATTCATTAAATGGAATCCACGATATTAATAATTTATTGTCAGATAATAATTTTTTTAGAGAATCATTAAAACTTTCGTAGTCAACCGCCTTTTGAAAATTACTATTACTTTTCGCTTTTTGCAGCCATTCAATAGCCTTTTTCTGATCTGGTGATGTTCCGTAGCCATTTCGATAACATAATCCAAGTTTGTATTGTCCATTATAATGACCATTTTCTGCAGATTTCAAATACCACTCAAATGCCTTTTTTTTCATCCTTGGCAGTGCCTATTCCATCTTCATAGTGGATCCCGACATTATATTGTCCTCTCGAATTGCCACCTTCAGCAGATTTCAGACACCACTCAAATGACTTTGTTTCATCCTTGGCTGTGCCTATGCCATTTCTGTAGCAGTTTCCGACATTTAATTGTCCATTCGAATTGCCACCTTCAGCAGATTTCAAATACCACTCAAATGCCTTTTTGTCATCTTTTGCTGTGCCTATGCCGTCTCTGTAGCATGTTCCGACATTGAATTGTCCATTCGAATTGCCACCTTCAGCAGATTTCAAATACCACTCAAATGCCTTTTTATCATCTTTTGCTGTGCCTGTGCCATTTCTGTAGCAGATTGCGACATTG